TTGCCGAGAAACCATGTTGCTTATGAATATGTATGTGGCCGGTGGAATGTGTGTGAGGCGTGAATGATATTAATGATATCAATGCCCAGCAAAAAGGCAGTTTAGGATCTGTGACCTTTTAAGACAAACAAAGACCCTGCAAGCAGATACATTAACTGAGAAGCAGCCAGAAAATCTCTCTTGGAAAAAATGTAACATCACAGCAGAAACCTGGGACTGCCTGGGAGAGGTAGAGCCTCCTGCAGATCCAGAGGGATCTCCCAAGGAACATCATGGTCAAGTCTCTGATAAGCTGACTCCTGGCCAGTACTCCAGCCACCAGCGAAATCAAAAGTAATCTACACCATACTTGCAGCCTGCCTCTAAACTGGCAGCATGAATGTGATGTGATGTGATGTGATGTGTGTGTGTGTGTGTGTGTGTGTGTGTGTGTGTGTGTGTGTGTATCAACTTACCCTTAAGAGTCTGCACCGATAAACAACCCCAAAAGCAATACTGCTCCAGCCCTCCCTTTGTCTGGGTTTGTTCCTCAGCAGATCTGAGGAAGTGCAACATCACCCACCAAAACATCACCCTTGTTGCTCCCACTCAGCACTTAACCCAAAGACTCTGGACAGTCTTTTCTCCCGTTTTATACTAGAGCTCTGAGCAATCATATTACTGTCCTGGGGGAACATTAATTATTCTGAAATAACACTGCTGTGTAGATGTACACTCACATACGGTGCAACTCCTCCATCTTTCTCCCCTGCTGGTCTTTCCTGAACAGTTTATACCCTTCCATGACAGTATTCCAGTCACATGAGTCATCCCATCAAATCTCCGTTATTCCAATCACATCATAGTTCTTTGACTCTGCTAGGACTTCTAATTCTTCTTGCTTGTTTCCCAGGCTTATTGCATTGGTGTACAGGCACTTTAGATAACTAGCTGCATGCCCTACCTTAGTACGAATCAGGGGTCCTCCTCTTTTGCACCTTCCTCCTTGTGTTTCTTCCTAGTCTCCCACTTCCCCACTTACCTCAGGGTTTACAATTTCCCGATGAACCTAGTTTAAAGCCCTCCTCACTAGATTTGTAAGCCTGCCCACAAAGATGTTCCTCCCTCTCTTCCTGGGGTGGATCTCCTCTCTTCCTAGTAATCCTTTTGCCCAGAACAGCATCCCATGGTCAAAGAATCCAAAGCCCTCTCTCCACCACCACCTACAAATTATGCGTTTACTTCTAAAACTCGTCGATCCCTACCTGGACCTTTTCCTTCAGCAAGGAGGATGGATAAGAACACAACTTGTATCTCACACTCCTTAATCCTTCCCAGCACCACGTAGTCTGCAGGGACCTACAAGTCATTCTTGGCTGTATTGTTGGTTCCTACGTGGAGATGTAGGAAGAGGTAATGGTCTGAGAGCTTGATCAGTCTTGGAAGACTCTCAGTCACATCCTGAATTCTAGCTCCAGGCAAGCAGCATGCTTCTTAAGTTTCCCAGTCTGGACATCCTCTTAGAAGGGAGTCCCTGAGCACAACCACATGTCTCCTTCTCTTGGAAGTGGTGGTCATGGATCCCCCGATCCCTAGCACTGTGCATTTCGTGCCTTCTTGTTGATCGGGTCTACTGACCCCTTCCCTCAGAGGTCTCCTCCAAAGCATAGTCTGGAGTCCCACTAAGGGTCACAGCTGGAGTCGGACTTAGAAGCCATGCCAAGGGTTAATCTGGAGTCAGAGCCAGAAGTCACAGCAGAGGTCAGAGACAGAGTCACAGTTGTGCCAAGGGTCAATAACTAGAGTTAGGATGAGGAAGGGAAAAGCCAATGTGGAGGCAGGAACTTGGTCTCAGAGGTCTGATCTGTAGCTGGCCTAGATACTAGTTCTTCAGACAGGGGTATGGCAGGAACAGGAAGCTTTATGCTAGGAGTGGTGACCACTCAGGAGTCTTCTGCTAGTCAACAGATCCTGATGACTTAGTGAGTGTAGCCTCTGTTTGCAAGAAACCAGCTCTGTCTGTCCTTGCACCATGTGGCTGGGAAAAGTAACGCTCTGACTCATCAACCCTGTAGGCATGGGTCTAAGATCTATATCACCTGACCTAGTGAGTCATTCTTCAACTGACAGGACTATGCAGCACTTCAAAGACTAACAAGATAACAGTGGATATAGTATACTTAGATTTCCAGAAAGCCTTTGACAAGATCCCTCACCAAAGTCTCATAAATAAAGTAAGTTGTCATGGGACAAGATGGAAGTTTCTCTCCTGGATTGATAACTGGTTAAAAGACAGAAAACAAAGGGTAGAAATTGTTGTGTGGTTTGATTTATTTTAGATCTGAGGGAAACCAGGAGACTACAGAGGGTACGTATACACTACACTAAGCTAATTAGAACTAACGCATCTAGAACTAAAAACTAGTTCGAATTAGCATTTTGCTAATTCGAACTAGCATGTCCACATTAAGTGGACCCTGAACCAGGCTTAAGGATGGCCGGAAGCAGTGCCGGCAGGGCATCAGAGGAGGACTTAGAGCGTGGAGATGCTGTCTCAGGCTAGCCGAGGGCTGTGCTTAAAGGGTCCCGACCCCCACCCCGGACAGACAGTTCTCAGGGGTGCCCCGCTTGCAAAGCAGTCCTGGCTTGGATTGCCCGGACTACCCACACTGGGCACATCACAGCACTCGGCCATCAGCCCGGCTGCACTTGCCGCAAGCTGCCATCTGGGGAGAGGGGGCAATTGGGGGGCTGCAGGAGAGCTTCCACCCCCAGAAGCCCGCAGAGACAGCCCAGTCCTCCTCATCGGGGGCTCATACCCCATTCCTCCCTCACCTCCTTCCACTAACCCTTCCCTAGCCCCTTTTCTTGATGTACAAAATAAAGGACAATTGTGTTCAAAAATGGAATCTGTCTTTATTGAACAAAACTGGGAGAGACTGGGAAAAGGAGGTGGGAGAGGGGAAGAGAGAGGCTGGGAGAGGGGAGGGCAACTAAAATGATCAGGGGTTGGGAACAAGTCCCATATGAAGAAAGGCTAAACAGACTGGGACTTTTCAACTTAGAAAAGAGGAGACGGAGGGGGGACAGGATAGAGGTCTCTAAAAGCAGGAGTTGGGTGGAGAGGGTGCATACAGAAAAGATCTTCATTAGTTCCCATAATAGAAGGACTAGAGGACACCAAAGGAAAGGA